ATTTTCAGAGATCCGTAACTCCGATTGGGCTGAAATTTTAACACGATCTCTATCCAGATATTAGCTTTCTTTCGGCGAAAGAAGGGCATCAACCGCCTTACGGGGTGGCCACGAGGGCCCAGGGCGCGCCTGCCCCCCTGGGGCGCGCCCCCTGCCTCGTGGCCCCCTCGGGCATCGTCTCGCGTTGATTTTTCTTCCCAAAAATCACATATATTCCAAAAAGAAATCTCCGTCAGTTTTTATCCCGTTTGGACTCCGCTTTATATGGATTTACTGCCAAACAAAAACGTGCAACAAACAGGAACTGACATTGGGCACTGGATCAATATGTTAGTCCCAAAAATAGTATAAAAAGTTGCTAAAAGTATATATGAAAGTTGTAGAATATTGGCATGGAACAATCAAAAGTTATAGATACGACGGAGACATATCAGGCGGCAGCGTGTGTCACCACGACGCGGCGACCACGGCCACGGCGTGGGCGGCGCCGCTCACTGCCTCTCCCCCGGAGCCCTCGGCTCGGGCGTACAAGGGCAGCGGATACCCGGGAGGTGGCCGCTCGCACCAGGGCCTCGACACATCCGGCCTCACGACTATGTCGCGATGATGGGACAGCCTCTTCTTTGGCGGAAGTGGCTCAGGCTTGTCGAGGGGGGTCTTTCCCTTCTTCGCGGCCGAGAACCTCCGTAGCGGTACCATGGTCGATGCAGCAAGCGATGAAGCAAGGAAGAAGAATGAGCAGGAGGAGCGAAGGAAGAGATGGGTGACAGGGGCTCCGCTCCCCTCTTCCCATTTATAGCCAAGGGGAGGCCAGCCGCCGGCCCCCATGATCTAAGGTAATAATGATCTTTTTCTGCATGCAGTAAGGACTCGTCAAGTCGGGCAGTTGCCGAGACACCATGGGGAAGCGGGGACGCCCACAACCAATCAACCGCCACGCGTCAACCGAGGCCGCGGGCTGTTAGGGCCCGCGGCGCTCCGCACTTTCCCATTGGCTTCGCCTCGAAGCCAAGCCCGAGCGCGCCTTGGGCCTGGGGCTACTGTCGGCGTCCTGGGAACGGGGGTCCCCAGACTTTCCTGCCTGCGGCCCACGGCGTGGCTCCACCAGCAGCCCTGTACGACCCATCTTCACCAGGAAACACTCAAGACCCTCGCGAGGGGTCAAGCCTCGCGAGGCGGACGACGCAAGACCTTCTCGGGGGCGGCCCCACCAGGCTGACTCGCGAGGGGTGGAGAGATCAAGGCAAGGGGCATGTCGCGAGGTTCCTGTGATGCAAGTCATGACGACCAAGGCCAGGTGAGCATCAGGCGGGCGCCAGCGCGCGCAGTGTCCTCTTTTCCTCTTTGGTGCTAAAGAGGCAAGCGCAGGCGCGGAGTCCCAAGGTATCAAGCAAAGGTTTTCATATCGGTGCAACGAGACCAAGACCAGCAGGACGACAGGACGGAGATCATCATGGAGCCCAGAACGGCGTCACCACCAGAGTCTTTGGCAGGCGAAGACCATCTTTTGTCAGGATAGCTTGTACTAGTTGTCCCCTCTTTAAATTGGTCGTTGTGGGATCCCTTCCGGCCTAATATTTGGAAAGAGGAGCAGGGCCTCTATAAATAGGACTAGCCACCACCTTAGAAGGGAGGACGGTCCTCTACCGCATCAACTCATCAAGCACAAGAGCACCTTTCCTCAGAAGGCTATTCTTTCCTTGTAACTGTTCATCCTCAGTCCAAGAGGCAATCCACCACACCACATCGGAGTAGGATATTACACCACATCGGTGGCCCGAACCAGTATAAATTTTGTGTCCCTTTGTTCTCTGAGTTCAACGCACTAAGCCTAGAGATTGCGGTGAGGGCGTAGGCTAGAGAGAGGAGAGATGTTCGTGCGCACCCCAATGTTCGAACCTTAAGGGTTTTGCCGAAACCCGAAATCCGACAGAAAAGACTTCAAAATTCACCCGCAAAAAAGAAAGACTTCAAAGTTTCATGGTTAGGGGAAATTGAAATTCAAACCGTTTCGTCATGTCACTCATACCCGGAGGGATCACTTCCATACGTACATCGGTATCTCAGTTTTAGATATATTTTTTTTGTTTTGACACTTCAATATATATATTTTTCCCGCAAAAAAAATATTTTTTTTTCAAAAACCCGCGCTCACTCCGAGCCGATGTTCAAGGAGGCATTGTCGCATGTGAAGGGGGAATAATGGACGAAAGATGCTCATGACGTACAACGAATGGTGCCAGCTCTCGAGAAACAAACTCAGCTCTACCAAAACGATCGAAAGCAGCCAGACACGGTCATCATCTGAAAATCGCACACGCAACCACGGAGCAGCTTAATTGGCCCGGCCGATGGGAGTCGGTGTGGCGCCGCGTTTCCTATCATCCGCGCCGGCCGGCCGGCCGCGGTGGCGTCGTGCGCGGGGTCTCCGCAAAGTGGCGTGCGTGTAGATGCAACATAGAAGCCGTGACCGCGGCGAGCCACCAACCACCACCGGAACAATATCGCCGAGCGATCGCGATCTCGATGCAACACCGTGACGTGACTCATGGCGTGCACTGGAGAGAGGGTGTCGTTGGCTCCGAAGTTCGTCTTGTTCCCTCTGTTAGTTGGTAATAGGGCCCCGTAGCATCGGGAGTGGTGGCTCGGAAGCGACGATAGAATGTGGTTCGGCCCTGTCGGATCAAAGATTGTCATGCGTGAGCACGTGGCTAATGGCCACGATCGCTAGCTGCACATCCTATGATGTACTCCTAGTCTCAAAAGGCTCTTATATGATTGGACAGAGGGAGTGCGTAATCGAATTGTATTTCATCATGTATTTCATCAATGGTATTCTAACTGCAAGGGGGGCAAACAAGCAGCAAAAATGGACTATATATCCAGTGCAGCTGATCGATTCACTTGGGTACCAGAATGACCGTTGATTACATGAAGCAAATCTTATCACAAGAAGCTAGACTATCCAAGAAATTTCCAAATATTTTCCATTTAGTGTTTTAGGTTTCTTGAAAGTAGAATGACCAACTTACACATGAATTTCCAAGCGGATGAGATCACTGTTTTTTCTTGTGTAGAAGTCCATTGAATTCCTGAAACTGTGCAGGCAGAGTTCTGCAGCAAGCGGATTCAGTCACGGTTGATATGTTTCTGACATTATTACTTGCGCATTTCCTCGTGATCCGTTTAATAATCCTTTGAGATATATCTACCTGATGTAGATAGCCACCAACCGGAGTTGGACAAATCAGAGAGAGCCGTCAGCATCCAAGAGTACGAGAGGACCGGTCGATTACGGGAACGTATCGCCGAGTCGCCGTACGCGCGTGCGTGCGTGCGTGCTCGCTAACTGAATACAGGACCGGATCGCGAGATTTTGTGAACGTCGTGCAACTTCAGCGACACGGTAAACACAGCACTGACAGCAGGGTCCTCACTCACGTTACTGACATGGATCCGACGTGTGTTGCTTTGGAGCGATTGCGTTGCTCTGCTCCTGTTCTGTCGTAGGAACATTATGCATGTAGACACACGCACGGCACGGCACGGCGGCAATGTTCTTCAGTCAAAGTCGATCGAGCTGGTCCTGTTTTCTGCAGTTTAATTGTAACCGGTGTTCTCAGGCTTCTGTCATCGGATATTTGTGACCATCCGGTCTACATATGCACGTGAGGTAAGCTATGATATTTTCACATAAAGACCACAGCCAGTCTACTGGATTGCAGAAAACCCATTCGTCTCTTCAAACAAGTTCACCCTCCCCTCATCCAGACAAATGAGAAGAACATAAATTTTCGGTCAAAGCTAACATATTTTAAAAATAAATAATATAAATGGTACATTTTCAAGTTTGTGAATATGTGACTAATCTATTTGATCTGTTGCAAGGCATGGGCACTTTGCTAGCCAAAGAGAAAATAGAAAAAGGAAGAAAAATAAGTTTTATTTTTTGAGGGAAACAAGCGTCTACGTTCGTGTGTCTTCGGATTGGATCTTTCTGATTTATGTTATTCTTCATCTGTGATGGTTGCTGTTCTGGTGCGCTGGTCCTACGTGGCCTTAGCACGACGACTTCCCAACTATCTACTCCAACAAATTGTGCCCGACTCCGGCGATGGAGGGGCGATGACAGTGGCGCGCCTTCGGCTCGCTTCAGTGATGATAGTCGTCGCTAGGTGGTCTACGGATCTGGATGTTATTATTTTTGGTATTCGTTGTACTTCCATAATTAAGGATGAATAGATCGGAAATTTTCTCGCAAAAAGAAAAAAGAAAAAAATGTTTTGCTCATAGCCACTAGCCTGAACTTTCTTCATGGGCCTGGTTCATTTACATGCCATCGGGCAAATGGTCCTTATAGGCCCAGCCTTCTTATTACAGGCCATTGGGAAAATGTTCACAAATTGGGCCGCCGGCGCCAACTGCAAATGCTCCTTCAATAGCTGGCCAAATGGGCCGTTTTTTGGGGGCCGGCCTGTGAGCACGCCGGCACGGCCCACCTTGGGTCAGGCACGGCACGGGCTAAACGGGCCGGGTCCGGCACACGGCACACCCTGGGCGTGCCTGGGCTTGGAGGCTGGGTACGCGGGCCGACACGGCATGGCCCGATTACTTTTTTAATTTTTTTTTATACATCTATATATGGCCTAACATGTAAAAAATAGACTAAAACGCTCAGTGCGTCAAATAACAGGCTGAAAATATACGGCCCATCATGCTAAACGCGCCAATGTGCCGGCCCGTTTATTAACTGAGCCGTGCCTGGGCCTGGGGGCGCAGCACGTGGGCTGGCACGGCACGGTCCGTATAGTAATTATACCCTGGCGGGCCATGCCGGGCCAGGCACGATTACGATGAGCCGGGCCGGCCTGAGGTAATGTACCGCACCGGCGCGCCTGAAATATCAACGGCCGAAGCCGAGAGATATCCAGTGGCCACTGGCCAGAGGCCACCGCCAATCTCCTCACTGAGCTCCACGCCACTACCCTTCGCCCCCAGCCATGATCATCACCACCGCCGCCTTCCCGTCCGTCTCCTCCTTCCACCGCCCGCGCCTCAGGCCCTGCCCGCGCCGCGCCGTCCTCCACCTCGTCCGGTCGGCCGCCTCCTCCTCCCCCTCGTCGTCGTCCTCGTGGGAGGAGCGCGAGGAAGCGCGGTGGCTCCGCGAGGAGCAGCGCTGGCTGCGGGAGGAGCAGCGGTGGCTCCGCGAGGAGTCGCGCTGGCGCACCGAGCGCGAGGCCCTCCTCTCCGAGATCACGGCGCTCCGCCTGCGCCTCCGCGCGCTCGAGCCTGCCGCCGCGCCCGTGCCTCCTCCCGCACCGGCGGCTGCGCGCGTCGCTCCGCCTCCGCCTCCGCCTCCCCCCGCACCGGCTGCGCGCGTCTCTCCGCCTCCGCCTCCCCCCGCACCGGCTGCGCGCGTTGCTCCACCTCCGCCTCCTCCCGCGCCTGCGGCACGCGTGGCGCCACCTCCGCCGCCCGTGCCGGCGCCGGTGAAGGAGGTCGAGGTGAGGAAGGAGGTGGTGGTGGTCGAGGAGAAGGCCAAGGCGAAGCCGAAGCCGAAGGCGGGGGCCAGCAGCGGCAAGAAGCGGGCGCTGAGGGTCGGGAGCGAAGGGGAGGAAGTGCGGGCGATGCAGGTGAGCGTAGCCGCGGTCGCGCACCTCTCGTTTTGGCTAGGATTCGCCATGCACGACCTGTTGCTGGGCTTGGGCCGAACATGACAGCGGTTCGAGACACTACAGAGATGCTCTGTTCTGTTGGCAATGCTATGTTCCCCTAAACAAAATGTTGGCAGTGCTCTGTTTCTTTCTAGCTAGATATACTCACTGCAAGTTCTGCAATCTGCTGTTGCTCTACGCTACATTGTCAAGAACGTGGCTGTGAACTACTATGGACTTACGGGATACAGTAGTACCGATTTGTATCTATGAGCCAGAACCTACTAATTAAGTACAAAGATACATTGGCCGTATATAAATCCAAGTGTACCGTACATCATGCAGGAAGCCTTGGAAAAGCTTGGATTTTACTCCGGCGAAGAGGACACGGAGTTCTCCAGCTTCTCGACCGGCACCGAACGAGCCATCAAGACATGGCAGGTCAATAAAATCCTCGCCCATCTTACATTCGCTAATATATCCGTGCCAGTGCTGTATAACATGTGTCATGTACTAGTAATTGCGCTTCCTGTTTGCAGGCATCGATAGGGGCTACAGAGGATGGGCTGATGACGTCGGAGCTACTCGAGATGCTATTCACAGGACGGACCCAGGACGATCTCAAAAAGGCAAGCTTAGAAACTCCAACTCCAAGCCACAGTCAGTATTTCAGTGATGTGGCCATGGCGTCGCACTGAGATCCTGATGCACAAATCTGAGATCATACATCTGTTCTACTTGCAGGAAGGCGTAAACGGAGCGCTTGTTCCACCTGTAACAGAAACCGCAGAGCTTCAGCAACCTGTGGAGGAAAAAATTGACTACAACAAGCACAGAGTGTACCTTCTCGGCGAAAACAGGTGGGAAGATCCGTCCAGGCTGACCAAGAAGGATAAGCCGATCAGCGGTTCTACTGCCGCGTCGACAAAGCAGTGCATCACCTGCCGGGGCGAAGGCCGCCTCCTGTGCCTAGGTACTCAAGTCACTGCTTCTTTACTCCACACTCGTATCCAGTGAATCCCAGCCACGGTGTACCATAAGCCACTGCCATTGGCTTGACTTCTGTACTATTACTGTTAATCTTGTGCTATGTTGTGACTATTGATGCGATCCTTCTTCGTTCCTGCAGAATGCGATGGAACAGGTGAGCCCAACATTGAACCACAGGTGCGCTAGAGTTCGGGTTGCAGAAATGCACCACGTTGTTTATTAATTAAGCCTTGCTATTTCTTCTGTGATATGCACTTAATCGTTAACTTTTTTTAAAATGCAGTTCTTGGAGTGGGTTGGCGAAGACACAAAGTGCCCATACTGTGAAGGCCTTGGCTACACAATATGTGATGTTTGTCAAGGGATTAAAACAGCACACAGTTGAGCAAAAGACTTATGAGCAACATTCAGCCTTAGTTGAACGTCTATAGCAGCTTATATATATGTTAACTAACTATTCCAGTTTTGTCGCAATATGTTTTCAGTAATATAATCACATTGTCATACTACATTATGAAAATAGATGCATAGAGACATAGGTAATACCTTTTGTTATGTACAACAGAAGATGGGGAAAATAACGAATGAAGCGATTGCTTTGTCAATCAAGCTTATACAATTGTCATGCCTCAGAATATTTTCAGCATTCAACATATTTCCAGGAAAACGCATTTATATCTGTCAGCAAGTATTTGATCTTCAGCAAGGAGGGTGGACTGGTGGTATTTCCAACTTGGTTGATTTTGCCATGCAGTTTACATGGGAAGCATGCATTAAACACACTAGCTGCTATGCTTGTACAGGTCATCAAGTTGCTACCATGAGAGATTGAGTTCTACCTCATAGAATAGAACTTCCGAAATGTGGCACTTGGCAGACTTGTAATCCTTTGCTGCCAGCACAGCACAAGGATGAACATTGCCTGCAAAGTATGTCCAACAATGAGAAAACTACTGAGAACAGATGCTGATTTCCTGATGATAATTCTGGTAACAGGAGATGGAACATACAACACATCGATGGAGTTAACCAACCTATTACTGCTAAAGAAAAACGCTGGCTGCTTCTCACAAATGTTCTTCTGAATTTTCTTTTTTAAATAATACATTGTTTGACTATACTAGGTAAAAATATATAATCTGCTGTCTCTGACTTTAAAGCAGAGAAGGAACAGAAATTGAGACAACAGCAATACCTTGTTCTAACAAGAGGCCGGGATGTCCCAAAAAAGAGAGGCAGGGAGATACCCCTACCAAATACTCCCTCCGTTCCAAATTACTCGTCGTAGAAATGGATGTATCTAGAACTAAAATACATCTAGATACATCCATACTCGTGACAAGTAATTCGGAACGGAGGGAGTAAGAAATAGCAGGCCTGTTGTAGTGTTTACCTCTGCAACTGGAACTAGATCATTTGCCAATCCAAATGCCTTTCCCTTTCAGATGCACTTCACATGCCATCTTAGATTCTGAATGCTGTGGGCAATGAAGGGCTCATAGGCAAAGTACAAAATAAATTATCGAGAAAAAGAATCTACAAAAGGTACCTCTATAAACTAGAAATGTTGAAGCCATTTTTTACTTCAAATATAATCCAGTCAGTGAAACATTTCGCCTGATCTCATCAAATCAGTCGATCCCTATATTGTAACAAAGTGGTGCATCCCATGCCATATGCTTGATGTTCATGCCAGATCTAAGGTTTGGCTCAAATCTTAAGAAGGGTAATGATTCTATGTAACTGGGTTAATAATGACCCTGAAACTTGTTTATGAAGAGATTGCACAAGTGATAAGACACAAGGTCACAGACCCTTATTGACTGTGATTTAAATAAACAAATCGTATTACATGAATGCAATATCAGCAAATTGCAGAGTATACCATGTACACGAATGTAGTTCTAACAATGTATAGAAGCTACGCCGTCACATATACAAATTTTAAACAATTTAAGAGACAGAACTAAGCCACCTGCATGCCATACAAAAGCCATTGAAATTGGGGCTCTGTCAGATTGGAATGAAGTACTTGCTGTTCAGACATGCCACCTCCTCCTTATTTTCCCACTGCAGTTTCTCCCACCATTCAACTGAACCACATATCTGCTTCAGTTTCCCATAGTTATGCGTGCAGCTTAGCGGGATGCTCCTCAGATTTGGGCAATCCTCCACCCGAAGGGTCTCAAGGCATGGGAATTCTCTTGCTTTACAAATACTTCTCAGCTTCTTAAGTCCCGTCAATACGATCAATCTCAACTTTGGGAAGTCACTCTGCCCTGTGTCATTCCGTGAAGTTTCTATCATAGCATGATCTTCTTGTTCATCTGAAGCATGATCCTGCATTTTCATTTGTTCTCCACACTGCTCCTCATCTTCAACAATTTCGAGCACCCCATCACAATGAGATATGACAAGCCTCTCAAGAAGCTGAAGTCCTCGGACCCATGTTATGTTCAACAGCTTGGGGCAGTGTGAAATGATCAATTTGCGAATGTACTGAAAATTATGGGACATTGGTGCAACAAGGACACTTTCCAACGAGGGAAGAACTGACAGGGTCAGGAACTGCAACTGTGAAGTTGTAAGCTCAGCATCAGCAACCACTGTGTTCAGGTCATAGCATGATTCAACATACAGCTCCTCAAGGTGCTCCATGTGGCTGAGGTCAGAGATTTTGATTGATTGCATATCTGCACAATACTTCAAGTTTAAGCGATGTGTTGACTTCGCCAAAGGACGAGGCATGTTCAATTTCTTTAGCACATCCTCTGCATAAATAGTGATTCCAAGGAACAGTAGTTCCTTCAGAGAATCCAAATTCAGGTTGTCAACATCACGGATACCATAGTGGCTGCGGAAGAGATTGAGCACTTTCAACTTGTGCAACTTTGAGCAGTTGTTCATGGTATCTTCAAGTGCAACAGTCACACTCAGATCCAAATGCCTCAACTCTTTCAGTAACCATAGGCGCTCAGGTAATCTCATAATGTGTGTGTGAGACAAATTCAGATGCTCCAATGCAACCAATGCATCACATTCTGGAAGTGATGTTATTGCAGTATGAGAAAGATCCAGAACTTTCAAGGATGACATAGTTCTGAAAAATCCATAGCTCATCTTGTTCAAATTTGGGTTGTTCTGCATCAACAGAGTGGTAACATTTTTGCACTTTGGTGAGAAAGAAAGCTCGGTGATGTTATTAGACATGATGGAGATCCTTGTAGCTTCATTCCATTCTCCAGCTGATGGAGCATTATCCAAGGCCATCCCTGGTTGAACAAGAAACTTTGTATCTGACTTGTTGACCAACCAAAGACCCAGTTGCCTGATTACATGGTGCATTTTTACCTTTGAAGACATTGAGCCACTGGCCTGCAACAAGCAGGCTGAAACGAGACTGCGGAATATCAGATAACCATTCTCACGATCATGTAATAGCAAACCTTCAGCTAACCAATAATCAACAAGTTGCTCTTTACTGATAGATCCATATTCTGGGAAAAGAGTGCAGTATAAGAAACACTGTTGTTGAGTGGTTGTGAGCCTGTCGTAGCTGTATTTCAACCGACCAAACATTTCATCCACACCATCAATATTCTCCATATTAGTATCAATTGCATCCACAGCTGATTTCCACTCACCCTCTTCCAAGCCTGCCACAGCGGTCCCAATGACATTGAGTGCAAGTGGCAGTCCTCCACAACTTCGGGCTATTGCCATAGCATGCTCTCTAGAAGTATTCTGGGAACCAAGCGATTCAACTGCTGCACTAGCCTCCTTGCTAAGCTTGCTCAAGAACAGTTCCCATGAAGCATCGTTACCCAAAATCTGCATCTTAATCAAGCTTCTTTGTGCATTCATCTGGAAGCATACTTCTTGGTAACGTGATGTGAGGATCAGCTTGCTCTGACTTTTGGTATCTGGAGTTGGGATACCAACATCCTCCAGTCGGAATTTCTTCCTTACATCATCAAGCAGGATTACAAATCTTTTCCTAGCAAGTGCCTTTATCAAGAATCTGGCCCGTTTGGCAATTGGCTCTGCATCATTCCATGGCAAGTTGAGCCTTTCGGAGATAGTCTGTTGTATCTCCACTATGTTCAGCGTCTCTGAATTGGATACTTCAATAAAGATAACAACCTGGCACAAGCAAATTAAGGAAAATGGGGCCATCAATAGCTAGAAGGTAATTTTAAAATATGAATAGAAATATAACCTGAAAATTACAAATGATGAGATAGCGTCAGGGAAGGATGTGCCAAAAAAGAGATGCATGTATGTGCCCGGCAATAATTCCAATTTACACAGCTGCATTTTATGCACATTTACTTGGTTTATGTAAAATATGCTTAAAAGAGCAAACCTTTTAAGGATTATGTGGAAAACAGCAAATTGACACACACTAATTGCATCAAATAACAATGCATTTTTCATGTCCATATCTACTAGATAATGTGTACCTACAATATCTATGAACTAGTCAAATTCTCATGCTGAATGGTTACTGTCTCTCCGTGTGAAAACCATGTTAAATTTCTTATGCCTGTACAAGAAGATCAACATTACTTCAGACTTAACTACTTCAGTGCACTGTGTAGCTGTTCTACAATGAAATTTTCTGCCTTCTCTAAAATGCATGGCAGCACAAATTTTCTCTTCAATGTTTGTAAATTAACTTTCTTTGAGTATCGTTACAAATATAAGCATGGTCACTGAAATAAGTATTATCTTAAATTAAATAGAAATATTAATGTACAGATAAACACGTACTCTAAGGGATAAATTGCAGTCTTGGAGAAAGCCACATACCTGATAGTCATGGGCCTTCTTTTCAAGATCATTGTTGAAAACATGTAGAAGCGTCGTCTTGCCAACACCTCCTTGACCCCACACACCAATTATATTCGAGTCGCCCTTCTCAAACAGATCATGGAGCTGACTCAGCATGGTCTCCAAACCAAACGTCTCGATTTGAGGCAATGGATCAACAATCTTGGGAAGGGGCTTGAATCCAAATTTCTTGAACCGCCTCCCTTCTTCAATAAGTTTATTTGCCTCATCTAGAGCCTCAAGAACATGCCTGCCGATCGAGGCACGCCGGTGAGCATGGATGGTGCACTGGCCGAGGCAAGAATACTTCCTCAACTGGCTGTAGTCCTCGTCGATGGCATCCAGTTGTAGCTCTTCGATACGCCTCAGCCAGACCTGCACCTGAGGGTCACAGATGTTCAGCTTGTCCACCTCTGCGGTGACTCGCGCCCTCACTGTCGTCTCGACAGCAAGCAGTAGCTTCTTGGCCTTGTCGAGATCGGCCCAGTTGGATTTGAGGTGAAGGAACGAGGCGACCTCCCGGGCCGCCGCGTCCAGCATGCCTGTGCCATC